AATTTATCCACCACCATAATAACTTCTTACCATCTTAATATTTTTTATTAAGTTGGTTTTCAAGTTCGAGTTTATAGAGAATACATTGTTTTATAGCACCACTTTTGCTCTTTAGCAAATATATAGCAATACTTTTTTCTATTATCAATTAAGGTAATAAAATATTTATTCCTTGGTGTTTGTAAAAGTTGATCAAACAAACTCATTAAAATGGCATGAATTCAATTCTCAAAGTAAAATTACTTTCAAGATCTCACTTTACAAACATATCTAGATTTTCAAGAAATAAATTTAATGATTTCTTTCTTTCTTAACTTGATTCTCAAGAAAATAATTTTTTTCTTTTCTTAAAAGTATAATCATACTTAATTCAACAATTTATTTTATTTTATAAAATAGGAAAATAAATCCAACGATTTATTTCATTTTACAGCTCAAAATTATATAAGATTATCAAGGAAATAAATTCAACAAGTTATTTCCTTTTTCAAAACAGGAAAATAAATCTAACAGTTTATTTTCCTTTTCAAAACATGAAAATAAATATAATGGTTTATTTCCTTTTACAAACCAGAATCATGTAAGATTCTCAAGAAAATAAATTCAACAATTTGTTTTCTTTTACAAAACTAGGAAAATAAATCCAACGATTTATTTTCTTTTACAAAATAAGAAAATAAATTCTACAATTTATTTCCTTTTACAAACTAGGAAAATAAATCTAACGAGTTATTTCCTTTTAGATTTACTTCCTTTTACAAGATAGGAAAATAAGTCCAACAATTTATTTCTTTTTACAAACTAGGAAAATAAATCAAATGATTTATTTCCTTTTATAAAATAAGAAAATAAATTAAACGATTTATTTCCTTTTACAAAATAGGAAAATAAATCAAACGATTTATTTCTTTTTACAAAATAAGAAAAATTAATTCTACGATTAATATCCTTTTACATATTAGAATCATATAAGATTCATAAGAAAATAAATTCAACAATTTATTTCCTTTTACAAAATAGAAAAATAAATCAAAAAATTTATTTCTTTTTATAAAATAAGAAAACAAATTCTACGATTTATTTCCTTTTACATATCAGAATCATATAAGATTCTTAGGAAAATAAATTCAACTATTTATTTCTTTTTACAAAATAGGAAAAATAAATTTTACGATTTATTTCCTTTTACATATCAAAATCATATAATATTCTTAAGAAAATAAATTCAATGATTTATTTCTTTTTTAAAAATAGGAAAATAATATATACAATTTATTTCATTTTATAAAACAGAAAAATAAACCAACGATTTATTTTCTTTTATAAACCAGGAAAATAAATTTAACGATTTATTTTTTTCCAAAATAGGAAAATAAATTCAACAGTTTATTTCCTTTTACAAAATAGAATCATTTAAGATTATTTAAAATATACAATCGATTCTCAAGAAATAAATTCGACAATTTATTTCCTTACGAATTTAAAATCATTCAAGATTCTCAAGGAAATAAATTTAACAATTTATTTTCCTTACAAATTTAGAATCATTCAAGATTCTCAAGGAAATAAATTCAACTATTTATTTTTCTTACAAAATTAGAAACAACGCACGATTCTAACGATCCAGTGATTTATTCCCTTTATATTCTGTTAACTGACGAGATTAGTAACACTAAAACCAAAAACAGATATATCACAACAACTCGATTCTGTTTACAAACAAAAATCAAATGGAATTAATCATTTAATTTTAGCAACCCAATAATCACAGGAAACTAATCATTTGATTTTATTTTTCACAATCCAATAATCGAAAGGAACTAATCCTTTGATTTAAATTTTGGCAACTCAGTAATCAAATAGAACTAATCCTTTGATTTTACTTTTGGCAACCCAATAAATAAATGGTAAATTACATCGTTCCTCATTAAACTATACTTTCCCTCCTATTTTCCTCACTCAACTTTCAATTTGATCAATTTGCTCACTAAACTTTACAATCAAATCATTTTGCTCACTCGACCGTTTTCTCTCTAACATCTGATGATATGGCATTTTTTATTATTATTTAATATAAAATAATTAAAAAAATAAAAACATAAGGTGGTCATGCCACCGCCGACCACAGTCAACCGTCGTAAATGGTGCTTGTTCGACCCTAAATGAGATAGGTCACTTTGCCTCGACACATTGAGTTTGAATCCGACCTCTATTTTGTCAAAACTTGCTCCAAAGTCCACGAATTTGATATTGAAATTAAAGAAACTGAAAAGTTTCCGTCTAAATTCATGAATTTTAGGATATTTTCTAGTGAAACAACCACCAGATTCGGACTCATGGGTCGAGACGAACTGACCCATGAAATTTGGGACCGAACGACCTCTATTTATGGCGGTCGACAGTGGCCAAAATGAAAATGGTGTGATGGCCAGTGGAAAGAAAATTAAGAAGAGAAGGAAAATGGGTAAATTACACCATGAGTCACTAAACTTTACTCTCTCCCCTATTTTACTCACTGAAACAACGTCGTTTTGGAGTTTATTTGAGTTTTTAAAAATGACGTCGTTTTGATGCTTGTGCCACATCATAACGTTGATAAATAGTTAACGGAAGTGTGAGCAAAATGATTCAATTTGTAAAGTTCAGTGAGCAAATTGATCAAATTAAAAGTTGGTTGAGGAAAATATGAGAGAAAGTAAAATTCAGTAAGGAACGGTGTAATTTACCCATAACTAAAAACCTTCTATTGAACTCTGAATCCGTTTGCATCTACAAAATTTCTCAAAAGAAATTATTAGCACGATAATTAAATTTATAGTGTTTCAAAACACAATCAACCAATATCAAAGATATTCTTTTTTTATTCATGCTATATTTAATATTTCATTTTAATATGCCAAAAGTCATATGGTAATAATACTATAATAATACTATCATGAATAATATCATGATTAATGCTCACATGTATTTTATGGGTGAAATCTTACCAATAGTGATATTCCCCAATAATACCATAATATAGAAAAAATCATGTTGATTCTTTAATTGCTCTATATTTATAGGCAATAACCAAATATGAATTTTTTTCCCACAAATAAATAATCACAGTTATTTTTTTACTTGCAAAAAAAAAAAAACCAAATCACCATGCTCTAGCCACCATACGCTAATCACCATGTATTTGTGTATTTACACAACTTGGTTCCTACTTGAGCTTGCAAAATAATTTGCAAAAACTCATATACCATAGCACAGATTCAAATAAATCTCGCTTATTTTTTATTTTTATCGTCGAGCAGAAACAACGTTTCAAACTTAGTAACCAATGTTACTTTAATGAAAATTTCTATTAAATATATTTGTCCACTTTAAAAATTAAGTAAACCCGTTAAAACGGCAAGATAAATCCTGAAAATGAATTTATTTGCTTTTCGTGATTTTTCCAAGATTTCTTAATCGTCTCAGATTTTTTTAAGAAAGGTAGAAGATAGATTATGTCTTAAGATTGCTAGAAGTATAACAATCCAAGACGATAAAACAAAAGAAAATCTTATTTAAACAATTGATTCACACAAGTTGCGATAACATTTAATTCCACGATAGGATCTCGTTGCAAAATTTGTGTATACGAAATAAGAAAAAAAAACAAAATGATTAATGAGATGGAAAAATCATTCTATTAAAAAATCAGAAAGAATATAAAATAGAAATAAATACATGATTAGAATCGAAACAATCATTTTGAAATGAGTTGAGGTCTACAGCTTCGCAGTTTCCTTAAGACAGATTTTCAGCCATTTTATGGTGCTTGAGATCTTTGGTTGTCTGCCACCCAGAATACAACAATGAGATGATCAGTGCATAGTGGCACAACTGTCAAGATCACGAACTATTCCTTGAATTCGTCTATCACCAAAAAATTAGAAGATAAGAAAACTTTTTGAATAGTTTTTGAGTTGTTTTAATTATATTTAACCTAGTAGGTTTACACGGTATTTATAGGGATTTTACGTTGTGAACAATTGAATTTTTTTTACCAAATGAAGCATTAATGAGAATCAAGCAACCAATTAATTTCCAAAATTGTTGTTTTAATTAAATGAATCTTTTAATATTTATCTTTTTAATTCCAAAACACATTTTTAAAAAAAATATTTTTATTTGAGGAAGATATTTCACATTTGGGTTAAAATATTCGCAAGAGCACAAAAAGTTTGACCGGTTCGGACATTATAATTACCTACATTGTGTACATCTGCACATGTACAAACTAATAAATGGTTCAACATTTTTCATAAAAAGCGTTTTGATCAATTTATCAAAACTCCAAAATTATAGAAATTTTTCCAACAACAGTTTTGTTAGGAATAATACTAGGCTCTGGTGCTGGATCTCTAATGCGCAAGGTTACGAAGTCACATGAGGTGACACAGGTTCCTTTCGTTTATAGCTAGGCCTAGGCTGTACAATCTTCTTCCCTTTATCCCTACCACTATTATGATCAGAAAGAACAGAAGCAGGAGATGAAGGCTGAAGCTGGGGGTGAAAGAGGACCAGGTGAAGCAGGCTGGATTTCTGTCCTCATATTTACAACATTGGATTGAAGTGACTTTTGTTGCAAAGAACCAGGAAGTAGTTCATCCCCAACTTTAGGCTCCTTTAAAAGGGTTTCAGCAACATCGGAGTTGCCAATTAGGTGAGAAGAAGAGGCCAGTCCTTCTTGGGATTTTAATCGTGCTGTTTTTAAGGGGCGTACAAGCTCATCAGTCATTGAACCTTCTTCGTCGATACACTCCTGCTATGTAAGACAATCAAAAGAAATCAGTTTATACAGATGGATGATGAGAAGAAGAAAAATAAATTATTCAACAGCAGCATAAGTTAAAGGACTGAATCGCATACGTCGCATATCCTGCCATTTTTAGGATCTGACACCTAAAAAGCAAGAAAAATATCGAAGACTTCAAGAGATGAGACTTGAATCTGAACTAAAATAGATTATGAGGAAAATATACCTTGCTATCCTCCTCCTCAAAGATAGCATCAGCAAGAACTCTATAATTCTCCGATTCTTAGCTCTCAATTTTTGTCATACAGCTTTAGAAGCTTCTTCAAAACTGGTTTCACTTTTTCATCACTAATTCCTATTTCCTTCCTCGAGCGGAAGGCTTGCACAACTCTAGGGTTTGGTGCCATGATGCTTTATCAGCTCTCCCTTTTGGCAGGCTTGCAAGCTCTACTATGTATACCTACATTTCCCCATTTTGGGTGAGAGAAGGTAGGCTACAACAGTAAGTCCAGGAATAAAAGTAGCAATGTTGCTGCAGGAAATTGAAAATGCTGCATTTTTTAAGTGTTAAATTTCGAAATATTGAGTTATTTAGGGATTTCCAGCTGCATTGGTGGTTGATTCCTATGAAGCACGGGGACGGCAAAGGAGTCCCATTTCAAGTATTCGATACGTTTCGGGCAAGGGGATGATATGGGACGGGCGGAGTACGTACCGGGGGCGTGCCATAGTGACAGGTATGACTAACCGAATTCAGAGACGGTCAAAGCTTATCTGGAATGTTTCGGGGACGTCCCCGAGATAATTACCACCGACAAGAATTACTCGGGCGGAGAAGAAGAAATCACTAGCCGAAGACGGAGGAGGAGTCGTTGGAACCCTCCTTTGGATTCGAACAAAAAACAGAACAGGATTGGTGAGACAGGAGCTGCTATTCAAGGTGGTATCCTTCAAGGTGATGTTAAGGAGCTGCTTCTGTTGGATGTAACTCCTCTGTTAGAAACACTTGGAGGAATTTCCACTAGGCTGATCAACAGAAATACATCCATCCGTTTGAACAAAAATGGGTACGATGGGCAGATGATGAGCTTTAGCCGTGATTCAGCTCCCCTATTTCCGAAAAGGAAGAAAAGAAACAAAAGGAAGAAGAAGCGGCAGCGGGGTGGAGAAAGTAGGGTTTATAGAATTTTTGGTATAATTTCTATTTGATCCCTGATCTTTCTAGAGATTTTGAATTTGGAAATAACTTTTTCATTATTTTTTAAATTGGACACTAAAATTAATTTCGGGGTTTGGAAAAAAAATTCTCAAATGTTAGGATTTAATTAGAGTTAAATTAGGGTGTTACACCAATTTTTTTTATGAAGTATTAACTTTATTTATGATTTTTATATCTATTTATAATTTTTAAAAATGCTCAAATATTTGGATTGTAATTAGAGTTAAATTAGGATGTTAACAATGTTTGATTTTGGTTTAATATTTTTCTAGACTTAATATTATGGTTTGAGTCTTATGATTTGACACTTTAATATTATGATTTGATTATGGATTTTATTATTCTAGAGTTAATATTGTGGTTTGAATCTTGAAATTTGACATTTTGATATTGTGGTTTGTTTATGGATTTTATCATTCTAAACTTAATATTGTGGTTTGAGTCTTGATATTTGACTTTATTTATGATTTTATATATATATATATATATATATATTTATAATTTTAAAATTATTTTATATATTGTACCCTTATCGTCCCCGTACCTTGTAATTTTAAATATTCTCGTTTCCCGTCCCCGTCCCCGTATCTGTCCCCATATCCGTATCCGTATCAGTGCAACATAGGTTGATTCTATAAGATTGGAAAGATAGATGTCTGTCAAGAACGTTCAAATAATATCGAGTCATCATAATAGGCAATTAGATAGAGGTGTTTCCAAAAGTGCAAGATGCCGAGCAGCTGTGGCACTAATGAAGTTACGACTTCCTGAATCTATCAGACTCACTAAGGGTTGTCCATTCATTACTGATTGCAACTGCATGTGTCTGCCAGTGATAGAATGTAAGGACATTTCAGGTTCCGCTTTCTGTACTTCGATATTCTCCTCTAATGTATCTCCCAGCCCTAGCCAAAACAGCTTCTTACATTGATGAGTGGCCGAATAAGGTTCACCGCAATTATAGCACACCTGTTTTGATCTATGTTTTGCCATCTCTGCTCTATTTAAGCACCTTATGAATGGAGTTGGAGTTGTAGATGATGAAGAAGCCAACATTATAGTATTCGTGGTACCCGTCTGAATTGATGCTTGCTGTGAAATTCGGTGACCCAGAACTTAGTCGAGCATTCGGTCATGCCCCTCCTCTGTTATTTCCAACACGTAACAGTTGCTTCTATTCAAAAGCTTTGGCAAGACTCGTAGCCATGGCTAAATCGGGGGGGGGGGGGAGTTTCATCTTAAAATCTAGCTGAACTGAATCGTCTAGTCCACCTAAAAATAACCCAACATGTTGATCAGGCAGAACATAACGACTGCCAGCCCTTGCCAATTTTTCCTGAAATTGTTTGTGAAGGGTTACTACCTACTGAAGGGCCAAATCGAAAAGAGCAATAATTACGAAACTCTAACTAATTCATCCCTCCCTACTTCATATGATAATACTAAAGTTGTGCCTCTCCTAGCATGTGGGAGGTTCCTCAAGCTATCGGATTCTCCCCGCTAAGCAGTGGTGGAACTGCGCCTCCCCCAGTAGTTTGTAGAGCGGCGTCTTGTGGTGCCAAACTATTTGCTTCTCCATTCCAATAGTTGATTTTTCATTTCATATCAGAAAATAGGGTTTTTTAATCTCTTCGAGGAGTTATTCCATAGCACAAATTCTGTATAAAGTTATGATATCATCTCCAATTGTTAAGAAGGTACGAATAGGATTGAGTCATTTGATTGATTGACAAATGCACTTGCCTTCCCCTTCCGATTCAATCTTTACCACTGAGGTAGTTGGATGAATTTTCAAATTTATGATTTTAAAGTATCAAGAGGGTTTCGAATCTAAGACTTTAAAGTATCAAGAGATTTAATCTTACTGTTAAAACAATGATTGAACGGCCTTTCTTCGGCCCTCTTGATTCGTAGTTGTTAATTACATTTAGTACTTAAACTCGAGTTATGAGTGTAGAATATAAGTGTATGTCAGCACGAGTAATTTTTATATTTTATTAGTATTCGTTTATTGTCTTTTTTCTTTCTTTCTCAAGACTTATTCTTGATTAATAATCTGGATAGATTCGGATCTCATACTTAATTTTAATGGAATGTAGTTTTTATATTTTATTAGAATTTATAAAACAATGAAACCGGCCATGGGCTTTAGACAAATTTCGGAAACGGCTTGACAGCCCAATTGACACCCCCTATTTCAAACTCATTCTGCAAACAATTTCAAAATGGGGCTTTGAAATGGAATGACCTAAAAAAATAAACAAATTTAAAGTCTAAAAACTTCTCCATTTTCTTAATAAATAAATCATTTAGACCTTTTTCATTTTTTCATTTTATTTATCAAAGATTGAGAAGAGCTTTTTGTTAAAGTATTTGGGGTCAGATTTGTTCTGGGTAAAATTTATTTTCTGTTCCAAATATATTTATTAAAATATTTTTTTATTTTATATAACATGTTTAATATATTTATTAGTTTGTTATAGCCAGAAGAGTTCAATCGAGTGTTCTTTTAAATAAAGTTGGATCGTGATCGGCTGTACTTTCATTATAGTCGACCATTAAAAAAACGTATAATAAAACAAAACGGGTATCATACTAATCTCTAAAATTTACAGGTGTCACGTTAGAGCATTAAAGCTGTCACGTCAGCTAACCAGCAACGTAGGCGTGGAAAGATATAATATTCAGCCGTATCTAATCTTATCAACTGGGTCCCACTCCCGGTCATTGTAGAAATTAAATAAATGAAAATATAGGAAACCGTGGACTGTGTCTTGTCTCCTGCCGTCAACATCAGACAAAAACGACGCCACAGTCCCAAAAATCAAAAACAACGATAACCGAAAACATGTTCGTCTTGGGGATCTCTCGTATACTGCAGCCTTAATATTAAGTTAAAAAATATGTTATTAGAAATATTATTATTTTTTAATATTTTTTATTAAAAATATTAATATTAGACGTTATTTAAAATATTTAATATTTTCGGTTAAATGTTATTTAAAATATTATTTTTTATCGAAAATATTAATATTAGGTTCTATCGAAAATTAGTTAGCGAAAATAATATTTTCGATAAAAAAATAATACTTTAAGTAATATTTTACCAAAAAAGTTAAAAAATAATATTTCTTGTAAAACTTTTTCTAACTATATATTAACACTGTCGTACAACACAACTATACGTTCGTGTTTGGAACTGAAAACATCAGAACTGAAATCTCGCTTACAAAGTTAGAGGGATTGATGTTCTGGTTGTGGGTTTAGTGTTAATGATATCATTCAAAATCCGTGTGGATTGCTTTGGTAGAATAATCTTTTTGATCCTCTAATTTTATTAATTTTATTAATTTTATTAATTTTATTAATTTTATTAATTTTATTAATTTTATTAATTTTATTATTTTAACTCTTAAAATTTTAGAACATCTCTTTTGATTTCAAACTTTTATTCTTCTCAAATTAGCTTTAAGTATGATGAATCAATAATGAATCATTAACCAACAACCAGTTGGTCTAGTGGGATAAGGTAATACATTTCTTAAGCAAGATCAGGGGTTTAAATCCTGGTAATTGCAAATGGAGCAAATTCGGTTGGGAGAGAGTCGTCCTTGCTTCTGCAATACCTGATTTCGATTAATCGATCAATAGATTGGATACCCGTGATTATACCAAAAACAATAATAAATCATTAAATTGGCATCAAATATTTTATTTTTATTAAAATATTAGTTTCAAATATTTTAAGTTTTTACCCTATCATCAAAAAATTTTAAAATATTAAAATTAATGTTATTATTTAAATAAGGATACTTTCACATTTTTATTTTTTATGAAAAAATAAAGAATAATTATGTCATTATTATTATGTTATATTTGAGTTGATTTGATAAAATAAAAGTCTGAGGGTTAAAATGTAATAATAAAAATATAATAGGTAAAATTAAAGATTCAAATAGTGATCGGATATATGTATAATAGTCGCTATATCGCGGTCGCGGCGACATATTAGATCGTTATCGCGAAAAATAGAGGTGTGAAGCGTAAGCACACCAATAGTGATGGGTCAAGGCTACAATTTAACGGATAGCAGGTAATTACGACAATAACAAACCGTTATTCCGCTATTTTAATTTTTTTAAATAAATTGTTTTTAGAAATATTAGAAATATGTTATTAGAAATATTATTATTTTTTAATATTTTTTATTAAAAATATTAATATTAGACGTTATTTAAAATGTTTAATATTTTCGGTTAAATGTTATTTAAAATATTATTTTTTATCGAAAATATTAATATTAGGTTCTATCGAAAATTAGTTAGCGAAAATAATATTTTCGATAAAAAAATAATACTTTAAGTAATATTTTACCAAAAAAATTAAAAAATAATATTTCTTGTAAAACTTTTTCTAACTATATATTAACACTGTCGTACAACACAACTATACGTTCGTGTTTGGAACTGAAAACATCAGAACTGAAATCTCGCTTACAAAGTTAGAGGGATTGATGTTCTGATTGTGGGTTTAGTGTTAATGATATCATTCAAAATCCGTGTGGATTGCTTTGGTAGAATAATCTTTTTGATCCTCTAATTTTATTAATTTTATTAATTTTATTAATTTTATTAATTTTATTATTTTAACTCTTAAAATTTTAGAACATCTCTTTTGATTTCAAACTTTTATTCTTCTCAAATTAGCTTTAAGTATGATGAATCAATAATGAATCATTAACCAACAACCAGTTGGTCTAGTGGGATAAGGTAATACATTTCTTAAGCAAGATCAGGGGTTTAAATCCTGGTAATTGCAAATGGAGCAAATTCGGTTGGGAGAGAGTCGTCCTTGCTTCTGCAATACCTGATTTCGATTAATCGATCAATAGATTGGATACCCGTGATTATACCAAAAACAATAATAAATCATTAAATTGGCATCAAATATTTTATTTTTATTAAAATATTAGTTTCAAATATTTTAAGTT